TTTTTGACACAGGCTGGAGTGCAGCCTCGACTTGCTGGGCTGAAGCAGTCCAGCAGCTAGGACTGTGGGTATACACCATGCCATCTGTTAATTTTTTTATTTTTTGTTGTCCAGTCTGGTCTTGGACTCTTGGGCCCAAGTGTTCCCCCCACCTTGGCCTCCCAAAATGCCGGGATTACAGGCGTGAGCCACTACGCCCAGCTGTTTGTTTTTAAGAGGCAGTGTGTTGCTGTATCACCCAGATTGGAGTGCTGTGGTGTGAGCCATAGCTCACTGCAGCCTCAAATTCCTGGGTTTAAGTGATCCTCCTGCCTTGGCCTCCCAAAGTGCTGGGATTATAGGTCTGAGCCACCACACTTGGCCCCCGTGGCTTTCACCGATATTACTTCCTCAACTGTCCATCTTGTTACCCTTTTCTTAGGAATGCCTCTTCTGCTGTTCTGTTAGCCGTCCTTACCACCCATTTCCATTCTGACCAGGAACAAGATCACCATGATTGCTGAGCCTCTTGAGAAGGGCCTGGCAGAGGACATAGAGAATGAGGTGGTCCAGATTACATGGAACAGGTGAGAGGAGGGCTCTGACACCAGGATCGAAAGGAGGCAGGGATGCCGCAGCTTACCTGCCGGGTCTCTAAGAGCACACATCTTTCTGGGAAGCATTTATGTCTTTGCCGTTGCTCTTGTTCTGGGCACAGTGGGTAGGATGAGGTGACTGTCTTCCAGGAAGGGAGGGTCTATGGCTCCAGGACCAGCAATCACAGAGCTGGCCGACAGCTCCATTGTCCCCCTCCTTTCCCCAGGAAGAAGCTGGGAGAGTTCTTCCAGACCAAGTACGATTGGGATCTACTAGCTGCCCGTTCCATCTGGGCTTTTGGCCCTGATGCGACTGGCCCCAACATTCTGGTGGATGATACTCTGCCCTCTGAGGTACAGCAGAACTGATGGGAGCCGGGTGGCAGTCTCTTACCTCTGGAGTGGAAGAAACTACAAAGTGTTCTTTTCCCAAAAGTATCTTGTGTCCTCTGATGAAGGACAGTATCCCCTTACAGGCACATCTATCTTCTCCCTCTAAACGCTTCAGCTGTTGTCAGGGTGACTGCTAAGGAGGCCTCATGTTTCTCTGTAGGTGGACAAGGCTCTTCTTGGCTCAGTGAAGGATAGCATCGTTCAAGGTTTCCAGTGGGGAACAAGGGAGGGCCCCCTCTGTGATGAATGTAAGTCCACCAGCACTCCCCCACCCCAGTCCTCGAGGGTCCTTGCAGCCAGGCATATGAGTGGGATGGGCTCACCATCTTTAGGACCCGGCAGGAGAAGCAGCTTGGGGTACACAGGACCATCCCGTGTCCTGGGCCAGCTTCTTCCCTTCTTCCTTATCCTGGTGGTGTAGCCTGGAAATTTAAGTCATTTCTAAACTGTCATTTGCTCCTCATTTCTGAGAAGGGTTTGGCCTTGGACATATTTGAGAAGAGATACCAAGAGGATGATGAGATTGGAGTGGTTAATAGACCTTGATTGGGCTTCGTGCACCAAATGTACAATTCTGGAATTCTACATCCACAAAAATGTAAATATGTGCAGAAGAAAGAAATAAACTTCTAGGAAAGCTCTATGTCTGAGCATGGCCTGAAGCAAACACTAAGAACCTATGCTTAACTTCTGACCTCTGCCATGGGCCTTGCTTATTCAGTTAGAACGCCCACCTCCCATGTGATTTTTGTATCATGTCTTTCATGACTGCAAGACAGCTGCAGTGTTGCAGGAGACTGCTACTCCACCATGGCCCCGTGACAGGCCCAGAACCTCTCCCCAGTCACTGCCTCCACCTCCTTTACAGTGATTCGGAACGTCAAGTTTAAGATCCTGGATGCAGTGGTTGCCCAGGAGCCCCTACACCGGGGCGGGGGCCAGATCATCCCCACAGCCAGGCGAGTCGTCTACTCTGCCTTCCTCATGGTAAGAGAATGGGGCTGTAGGAAACCATCTGCTTCGCTGGACTGTGGACTAAGTGAAGGAACAAGTGGGACTATAGGCCCTCAGCCTTCCCTAAGCTGAGGGACCTTTCTTCTTGCTCTGCTGCAGGCTACTCCTCGTCTGATGGAGCCTTACTACTTTGTAGAGGTCCAGGCCCCTGCAGATTGCGTCTCTGCAGTTTATACTGTCCTGGCCAGGCGCAGGTGAGCAGCCCCAGCCCCAGGCATATTAGGAAGAGTGCTGAGAGCAAGAGCAGAACAAGAGTCACCTCGGCTCCTGCAGGGAGGAGAGATTGGCCTCCCCTACCCTCCTCACTCTGGAAACCCTGTGAGCTGATTTTCTAGAAAGAAGTAGGAACAGAGGGAGGCAAGCCCCAGCTTTTCTGCAGATTAAAATTTGACATTTCTCCATCCTGGCTAACAAGGTGAAACCCCGTCTCTACTAAAAATACAAAAAATTAGCCGGGTGTGGTAGCAGGCACCTGTAGTCCCAGCTACTCAGGAGGCTGAGGCAGGAGAATGGCGTGAACCCGGGAGGCGGAGCTTGCAGTGAGCCAAGATGGCACCACTGCACTCTAGCCTGGGTGAAGTATGAGGCTCCATATCAAAAAAAAAAAAAAAATAGACATTTCTTTGGGATCCCCTCCTCACAGAGCTGTTGGAGGAAGTGCTGAGGCAAGTCGATGGAAATGTCTTTGGGCTCTTGTCCCATCGCCGTCCCACTCCTGTCCTCTGCTCAGAGATTGCTGCCACTTTGACTTCCACAGGGAATTATACTGAGAGCCCTGAGCCTTTTCTGCTTTCTGTAGAACATTCTTGGTTACTCTTTTTTTGATGGTAACTCTGGGGTGGAATGCATTTGGGAACAGCAAATGCTGGATTGCTTCTTGGCTTTTGGCCTGTGTGTGGCTAGAGACTCAGCCTTTGTTTTTCTCTCTCAGGGGTCACGTGACTCAGGATGCACCCATCCCAGGCTCCCCTCTGTACACCATCAAAGCTTTTATCCCAGCCATCGACTCTTTTGGCTTTGAGACTGATCTTCGGACTCACACCCAGGGACAAGCCTTTTCTCTGTCTGTCTTCCACCATTGGCAGGTGAGAAAACAATGCAAGCTGGCGGATTTGGCTTCCCACCTCTGCAAGCCTCATCCCCTCTGTCCTGATCCCTCTCCAAGCCTTAAGTGAGGTGTACAGCATCCTAGAGAAGAGTCCTCTTCTGGGTTGCATGTATTCAGGGCAACTTGAATCTGTGTCTCTCAGTTTAAAATAAAAAAGAATAGAAATAATAGGGCCGGCTGTGGTGGCTCACACCTATAATCCCAGCGCTTTGGGAAGCCGAGGCGGGCAGGTCACCTGAGGTCAGGAGTTCAAGACCAGCTTGACCAACATGGAGAAACTCCATCTCTACTAAAAATACAAAATTAGCCGGGCGTGGTGGCGCATGCCTGTAATCCCAGCTGCTTGGAAGGCTGAGGCAGGAGAATCACTTGAACCCAGGAGGTGGAGGTTGCAGTGAGCCGAGATCATGCCATTGTACTCCAGTCTGGGAGACAAGCGAAACTCTGTCTCAAAAAAATAATAATAATAAGTAATAAATTTTAAAATAAATAAGAAGAGTCCTGCTTCTGGGCCTGAATCTTCTGGGAATTCTGCCTGGGCCATCTGAAATTCCTTTGCCTTTTAGATTGTGCCTGGTGATCCTCTGGACAAGAGCATTGTCATCCGCCCCTTGGAGCCACAGCCGGCTCCTCATCTGGCCCGGGAATTCATGATCAAAACCCGCCGTAGGAAGGTATGTCTCCCTTGGGCCTGTTGCCATCCCTTAACCTCCTAGGACTCTCAGAAGCAGGATCTCCCTCTCTTTCTTTTGGCCCCTTTTCCTAAGGGACACTTTTCCAGTGTAGAGATATGATCTGTATACTCCTTAGACAACCAAACCTGGACCCCAGTCTCATTGGGAAAGGAGAGCCTTATCCTCCCATGTGATAGTACCCTAAAGGCAGGACTCCTGAAACACCACCACCTACATTCCAGCCACCACTAGCCTCCCCACTGAGCACAGGTCTTGGTTGGTCTCCCCGCTCAGTCTGCGACCACCTCAGGCTTTCTTGTATTTGCCCCATTCCCTGCAGGGCCTCAGTGAAGATGTGAGCATCAGCAAATTCTTCGATGATCCTATGTTGCTGGAGCTTGCCAAACAGGATGTTGTGCTCAATTACCCCATGTGAGTGCATGGACTCCTGGGAGCTCCTGCTCCCTACAGTGGGCTGCAACTCCTGTACTTGAAGCTGAGACCTCGTATGATGTTGACGTGGCCTTGGTGTTGTCAGAGTGTCTGGAAGCTGCTGCTGCCATCTTGAACAACTCACCAACCTCCAACCCAGAGCCCCAGTGAGAGAGGAGCATTTGGCCTCCTGCTTCCTTCTGTGGCCTCTGCCAGGCTCCTTTTCCAAGGGAAAGAGAGGAGCTTGGGCTCACAGAAAGAGAAAGGGATGAAACCCCAAGGGGCCCTATCTTTGGGATTTACATGGAATTTTATTTTCTACAAGTTTGACCTTAGCCGTGGTTTGCAAGTGAACAGAACATTCTGACCTCTGTCTTGCTCTGCTTCTTTCATCCCCGTCTCCCCTGCCCCTTCTGGTGCTGGTGCTTACATTCTGAATATATGTCATCTCCCAAGAGGCTTCACTGCCTCTGCTTCCAGCTGCATCCTCCTTCCTGCCTGGGTCCCCAGGGAAGCTGCCTGCCTTTTAATTCAGTGTTCCCATGAGCACCAAGGCCCCATTATTGCCCCCCTTGCTCCCACTCCGTGCTGCTTCTGGGTGGGACCTAAGATGGCTTGGGAGTTGTTGGGTTCTTGAGATCAGAGGTCTACCCCACCACCTCCTCAGGAAACTACTGCCTCCCCTAAGAATCTCCCTTGCCCTGGAGTAGGGGGCCAGAGCCCTTTGATTTCCAGACACTCCAGGTCCTCTCCCCAGCCACTGCCAATCCTTTACTCTATTCTCCCCCAGTGAAAAAGAGTCAGTTGATTTTCCTCAAAGCTACTTTATTAGGAATGTACTAGGGATTGATTTAGGGGAGTCGGACGGCCCCGGCTCCTATAGGAGTCCTACTTCTCTCCAGTATCCTGTGCCATCCTCTTGATGTAATCACTGTACATTGTGTACACAGCACCTGTGTGAGGGAAAAGAAATAGTGCCCCTTGGCATCAAACCCTTTACCCGTCCTCTGGCTCTCTCAGGTGTCCCAGGGGTTCACCTCTAGCTACTCCCTTGAGAGTCCAGCTTCCTGCTCATCTTTCTGCCCCAGGTCCCAACAGCTGCTCCAAACATCTGACCACACAGCCTGGGGAAACCACCCATCTGACAGTTCACAAAACACTTTCACATGTATTGTGTATCTGAGAAACCTTACAGCAGTCTGCGAGGTAGGCAAGCCAGGGGTGGTTATTGTCGTATTACACATCAGGAAACAGGCTCAGTGGGAAAGATTTGTCCACTGTCACACAGGTAGCAAGTGGCTGGCTGCTTTTTAATGTCAAGAGGAAGAGAAATTCAGCATATGTCCTGTTGCATGGTTTTTCTCACCCCTAGGGCAAACTGTCATGAGACACTGTGCACTGTCCTCACAGGCCTGGGACAGGAGCCTAAACAGGGAAAATGGCTCAGTATAGGGGCTTCACCAAGGACGTGATGTGGATCCCAGAACAGGAACCTAAGTCACAGTCCTTTTTTTTAATTTATTTTTTTAATTTTTTTTTTTCTTTTTTTTTTTTTTTTTTTTGAGGCGGAGTTTCGCTCTGTCTCCCAGGCTGGAGTGCAGTGGCCGGATCTCAGCTCACTGCAAGCTCCGCCTCCCGGGTTTACGCCATTCTCCTGCCTCAGCCTCCCGAGTAGCTGGGACTACAGGCGCCCGCCACCTCGCCCGGCTAGTTTTTTTTGTATTTTTTAGTAGAGACGGGGTTTCACCATGTTAGCCAGGATGGTTTCGATCTCCTGACCTCGTGATCCGCCCGTCTCGGCCTCCCAAAGTGCTGGGATTACAGGCTTGAGCCACCGCGCCCGGCCTATTTTTTTAATTTTTGAGACAGACTCTCACTCTGTCACCCAGGCTGGAGTGCAGTGGTGGATCTCTGCCCACTGCAGCCTCCACCTCCCAGGTTCAAGCAATTCTCCTGTCTCAGCCTCCCGAGTAGCTGGGACTACAGGCGTCTGCCACTAACACGCCCAGCTGATTGTATTTTTAGTAGAGACCGGGTTTCACCATGTTGGCCAGGATGGTCTCGATCTCCAGACCTCATGATCTGCCCACCTCAGCCTCCCAAAGTGTTGGGATTACAGGCATGAACCTCCACACGCAGCCAAGTCACAGTCCCTTTAACTGTTGGGACTTAAAGACCTACAGACTCTGTGTAATTGGTTTTGCCCTCATTCTCCTGTGACCCCACAAAGCCACTCACCTAGCATGATTGCACCCACTGCACAGGCCTGCGCTGCCACTCGGGTGTGAATCAGGTGTATGGACATCTTGGTGGAACCACGAGACCTCAGCCGGTAAATCCGGTATGCTGCTACCACCAAGCAGCCTCCTAAGCCTGTGGGCAGAGAACACAGCCCCTGGGCCATGGCCACAATGCACAGCACTCCCCTGATGAGACATGCCAGGCAGGCTGGGCACCTGGATAAACAGCTGCTTTTATGCAGCATCTGGTGGTTGGGGTTGCGGGGGACCTAGGGGGATCATTAGAATATTGAGTCATTGCCAGGGTGTGGTGGCTCATGCCTATAATCCCAGCACTTTTTTGAGACCAAGGCAGACAGATCACCTGAGGTTGGGAGTTAGAGACCAACCTGACCAACATGGAGAAACCCGGTCTCTACCAAAAATACAAAATTAGCCGGGCGTAGTGGTGCATGCCTGTAAATCCCAGCTACTCAGGAGGCTGATGCAGGAGAATCACTTGAACCCAGGAGGCGGAGGTTGTGGCGAGCTGAGATTGTGCCATTGCACTCCAGCTGGGGCAACAAGAGTGAAACTTCGTCTCAAAAAAAATAATAATATTGAGTTGTTGCCCTTCAATGGCGTTCTCAAAGTGGCTGCCTCCCTCCAGTGACACCCCTCCCCCAAATACAAATAGCTGATCACCACCAGTGACGCCCCTCCCCCAAATACAAATAGCTGATCACCACGACACAGCCCCTGCCCACCAATTTGCTCCGCCCTGGGCCCTTCTCCAGCCACACTGCTGGCTCCCACCTCCTGGTACAGCTGTTTTCCTACTCTACCAGGTCCGTCAGGAAGGAAGCCCTGGGGGACCCCAAGGTGTTTCTCTGACCCTTCCCACTTTGTTGTTGGTGCTCCAGGCTCCTTGTATCCCATGTGCTCGGTTGGCCGCCACCTCCACCCGTCCAGACGTCCTCATTTTATTGTAAGGGTTTGCCCCTTGGCACCTTTGCTGTTGGTTCCCTTGTTCCGTGAGTAGGACCATTTGAGTTTTCTGACCTCTGCTTCATTCTCTTTGGAGGGTACCAGGAGACATGACTGCTCAGAGAAGGCCTCCTACTTGCACCCCATTCCTTTCTTCACTTACCTATAGGCACCAGGGGAGATTCCCGAGTCTTCCTCAGGAGCTTCTCAGACACACTGTCTTTGTCGTCAGCTGGTACCCACCAGCGTCTGTTAGCAGACATAATCCTGGACCTGGATGTAAGCAGCTGGGACTCCTAGGCTGCAGCCCAGTCCTAGAGAGAGGCACTCCACAATCAGAACTCTGATTCCTCAGTCTGGAGAGGAAAGGAAGGTTACCTGCTAAGACCCTCTCTCACCATGCCCTAACACAGCCTCTGCTTGAAAAGATGTCCCTCCCAGGTATCCCATCTCAGATGGTCGGGCCACTAGTGCCATTTCTCCATCTCCATTTCCTACCATCTGTCTCTTCCCCAGCTCGTTCTGACTTCACTGTTTCCTCAGCTTCCCCTTCCCCCATCTGCATCCCTATGGGTGTGATCCTTGGGCCAAGGAAAACAGCTGGAAAAATCCACAGATGGCGGTGGGAGAAACAGTCCTTGAGTGTTGCGGCCCCCGCTGGCCTTTGGTCTGTGATGGTTGCTCCTGTGGGAGCTACAGAGCAGGATCTGGCCCCAGGGAGCCAGAACCATCCTAGACCAGATAGTATCACAGCATTGGTTACTAAATTGCCAGAGATTATAATGATCGGACATTGATTTGCATGTAATTTAGAATATATTTTGCACGTGGTACTAAAGGAACACATTCTGGTTCCTGAGCTCCTCCCGTTTTTCCAGGTCCATCTCTTTCCAAACAGGTTCTTCACAATTACCAACTGGCTACCTTCATCCCTGGGCTGGAAACAGGGGTTCTGCCAATGGGATGCCTTCTGTTTTTTTTTTTGTTTTGTTTTGTTTTTTGAGACGGAGTCTCGCTCTGTAGCCCCAGCTGGAGTAGCCATCTCGGCTCACTGCAACCTCCACCTCCCTGTTCAAGCAATTCCACCTCAGCCTCCTAAGTAGCTGGGATTACAGGTGTGCACCATGCCCAGGTAATTTTGTGTATTTTTTTAGTAGAGACGGGGTCTCACGCTGTTAGCCAGGCTGGTCTTGAACTCCAGACCTCTTGATCCACCCACCTTGGCCTCCCAAAGTGCTGGGATTACAGGTATGAGCCACCATGCCCTGTCCAATGGGATGCCTTCTAAGCCTAACCATAGGACAAACTTTCTTTTCTTTTTTTCTTTTTTTCTTTTTTTTCTTTTTTTTGAGGCAGGGTCTCACTTTGTCACTCAGGCTGGTGTGCAGTGGCAATCACTGCAAACTTGACCCTCCAGACTCAAGCAGTGCTTCCACCTCAGTGTCTCAAGTAGCTGGAACTACAGGTGCATGCTACCATGCCCAACTAATTTTTGTATTTTTTATAGAGACAGTTTTGCCATGTCGCCCAGCCAGTCTTGAACTCCTGAGCTCAGATGATCTGCCCACCACGGCCTCCCAAAGTGCTGGGATTACAGGCATGAACCACTGTACCTGCCCTTGAGTCAGCTTCTATCCTAGTTATCCCTCCTTTCCTGGAGGAGCAAGGACTGGTGGCCCCCCAAGTCATTGGCATGCTGGTGCTTACCCTAGGAGATGGCTAGAACGAGGAGCGCGAGCGGCCAGGCCACGGCTCAGCATCTGGTGTTTTGAACCGGCCAAAAGCTGAGATGGAGCTGCCACTATGGGGTCAGGGAAGCAGTGACTTGGGCTTTATGAAGACTTTGAAGTCAGGGATGGAGAGGGGAGAGGAAAGGACAGGGGATCGGTCTTAACCCCCAGTTCGCTGAGTCCCAAGTCAGAGCTCCAGGCACTGCAAAGTAAGGAAAGACCAAATGGAGGGGGGCCCCTAACTGGATTCAGTCTTCTAATTCCCATGGAATTAAGTGTCTGGATCAGAGAGAGGCTTGATGTGGAGAATGGAGATGGAGATACAGGAACAAGGATGAGCAGAAAGCCTGGGTCCCCCAAGTTACACTCCTTCGGATACTCTCATGAACAATGTGGGATGTGAATAAAATACCCTAGTTGTGAGAGACAGGCTCTCTGGGCTGTCTTTTAGTTTGGGAATTTTTTTTTTTTTTTCCAAGACGGAGTCTTGCTCTGTCACCCAGGCTGGAGTGCAGTGGCACAATCTCAGCTCACTGCAACCTCCACCTCCTGGGTTCAAGCGATTCTCCTGCCTCAGCCTCCTGAGTAGCTGGGATTACAGGTGCACACCACCATACCCAGCTAATTTTTTTATTTTTAGTAGAGGTGGCGTTTCACCATGTTGACCGGGCTGGTCTCAAAATCCTGACCTCATGATCCACCCGCCTCACCTCCCAAAGTGCTGGGATTACAAGCATGAGCCACCACACCCAGCCAGTTTTTGGTGTTTTTTGTTTTGTTTTGTTTTTGAGATGGGGTCTCCCTCTGTCACCTAGATTGTGTGATCTTGGCTCACTGCAGCCTCAAACTCCTAGGCTCAAGCAACCCTCCCAACTCAGCCTCCTAATTAGCTGGGACCACAGGCACATATCACCGCACTTGGCTCATTTTTATATTTTTGGTAGAGACAGAGTTTCACCATGTTACCCTGGCTGGTCTCAGAACTGACCTCCCAAAGTGCTGGGATTACAGATGGAAGCTACGGGGCCCAGCTTCCAGAACTCTTTATACTACCTATGAGGTGATGCTCACTCAGGTTGCAGGGATAACAGTGACCAGGATTGGGGCTCTTCTGTACTCAGTATATTTCTTTTCTTTTTTTTTTTTTTTTTTTTTTTGAGACAGAGTTTCACTCTTGTTGCCTAGGCTGGAGTGCAAATAGCACGATCTCAGCTTACTGCAATCTCCACCTCCCGGGTTCAAGTGATTCTCCTGCTTCAGCCTCCCAAGTAGCTGGGATTACAGGCGCCTGCCACCACGCCCAGCTAATTTTTGTGTTTTTAATAGAGATGGGGTTTGGCCAGGCTGGTCTCGAACTCCTGACCTCAGCTGATCCACCCACCTCGGCCTCCCAAAGTGCTGGGATTACAGGCATGACCCCCACCGTGCCTAGCCCTGTACTCAGCATATTTCAAAACTCTCAGCTATTCTATATGGTAAATAGCAGTTTGTTCACAAAGGAATGGAGCTTCAGAGAGGCTTAATAACTTACCTGAAGATACACAGCTAGTACATGGCAGTTTTGTCATCTGAACCCAGGTCAGGCTGGCTCCAGTGTTTACACTCCTGACTGCAATGCTAACCTCCAGGGGGCTGGTTAAACGGAAACCCTTTCCAGATGAATACTGAAGCTTAGGAATGCTAGTATATCCTGGCACCCTTGTTTAGGAAAAGAAAAAGTACGTGCTAAGCAAATGGAAGAAGATAGGGTGTGCTAGGGAGATCCCACTCCATCCCAGGCCTTTGTTCCTTCCCTAGATTACTCAGCCCTGTGTGTTTATCCTAAAGGGGCTTTGCAGCACTGGAAATTTGTTCGGCAGCTGATGTCCTTTTTTCTCCCCAGCATTCACTGCTCTAGGCAGAGACCCAGGGTCACAGCAACTCCCCAGGGCCTTCACATGTCCCCAGTGTCCATGGGAACTCTCCTCCCAGCCTTTCACACACACCCTCCTGTGCTGCCTCTCCAGGTTCCAGAAGTGGCTTGAATTCTCAGGAGATGGACGGTATATTCCCTTACTGGTCTAGGTCAGAAGAAGGGGGATGAAAATGTCCGGATAAGACAGGGCAGGAAACAGGATCAACTCCAAGTCCTTTGAAGAACAGGAACCAAACCATGGATAGTGAAGTTCAGCTTCTCCCTACTGAAATGATGGTGATGTTCCTACAGCATCTCAGCCCAGAGCTGAGAAATAATAATAATTGCTATGATTTACTGAGCACCTTCTCTGGGCCAAGCAGTGTGCTAATTGCTTTGTTTTTGTTTTGTTTTGTTTTGAGACAGTCTCACTCTGTCACCCAGGCTGGAGTGCGGTGGTAATCATAGCACACTGCAGCCTCAAACTCCTGGGCTCAAGGGATCCTCCAGCCTCAGCTTCCTGAGTAGCTGGGATTACAGGTGCATGCCACCATGCCTGGCTAATTTTTGTATTTTTAGTAAAGATGGGGTTTCACCCTGTTGGCTAGGCTGGTGTCGAACTCCTGGCCTCAAAGTGATCCACCCACCTCGGCCTCCCAAAGTGCTGGGATTATAGGCGTGAGCCACCATGCCTGGCCTCCTTTGTGTAGATTAATCCTCACAATAGGAATGAGGTAGGTACTATTATTATCCCCATTTCACAGACAAAAAACTGGGGCTCCATTAAGCGTTTTGCCCAACAGTAAGTGATAGAAAAAAGGCCAGATTTCTAACTCACTTCTCAGGACTAACTTGAGAGAATGTAAAGTGGAGGGGAAGTCTTGAAATAGAAGAAGTAAAATTGCTTTGTATTTCAAAAACTTCTGAGAACATACAGTAACTAAAAAAAACTTCAAGGAACAGATTTTTGTAGAGTCCTGCTTTAGTAAACAGATAAGATAAAATTATGATAGCATCATTTTTGTGAACATGCCGAGACTTTAATGTTTTCCATTTATGCATTGCTACATTAGTAATTTGTTTAGTAGACCTCTTTTTCTTCCAAATCAGGTCACATCGATAGAAATTCTGATTTAGAGGGGCCTAAATCAATGATGCAGACAGACTTAGTGTAGGCCAAAGTCAGACATGGGATCAATTAGCCCACAGACCAACCACTCTAAATATTGGGTTATGCCATTTAATCTATTAGAGTCTATGGCTTCGTTGGTAAAATCAAGGTAGCACCTGCCCATAGGATGATCGCAAGGGTTAAAAGAGAATTGTTAGAATTCTGCTAACTCCTGCTGCTCCTCTTCCTCCAGGAGCAAGTGTCAGGGAATGGGTAGCAGACTGGGGGAAAAGCAGAGAGTCCCTGACAACAGATGGCAAAGTTACCATATTCTGTGTGGTTCCGAATTCAGCACAGCCTTTCTCATTCCCTTCCCCCAGACCCCCTCCTTCTTGGGCTTGCCCACCCTAACTGGAAGCTTCAGGCTTGTTCTCCCTGTTGTGTTAAAGAGGAAAGGATGGGGGGAAGGGGGACTAAGTCTTGAAGCTCTCAACACGATCTAAGGCACAGCTATGCTATTTATAGCCCAAGGGAGCAAGTGACAGGGAGGGGAGGGATATGCAGCTTTTGCCTTGAGCTAATGGGAGCTGTGAGTGAGGGCATGATGGAGAATGAACTAGACTAGGGACAGAGGATGCTCCCAGTTGGAGTTGGAATGGGAAGACATGGGGTTGAAAGGCTGGGAGAATCAGAGGGGAGAAAACATTAGGGGATAGAGTTGTGTCTGGGGCACTGAAAGGGTAAGGAGTGGAGTAACAGGAACAGGCAGTGAAAGTTTCCAGATAATATGGCTAGGCTGAGGCCACTTTCTGGTGGAGGCAGTCTGTAACACCCCCACCCCCACCCCCCACCCTTTTATACAGGCATTGAGTTCCAAGGACCGCTTAGCATTTGTCCAAGGACAGCTCCAAGGGCCACAGGCCTGAAGCCAGAAAGTACCTTTGGTATCCACTAATCTTTCTGAGAAGACTTCACATATTTTTTTCCGAGACAGAGTCTCACTCTGTCACCCAGGCTGGAGTGC